ACACACATACACAACTCCTCAACTGGCTGTTCTAGTTCCCGGTAAGGGCGTCACCCCAGTCAGTGGTCTCCAGGTGCTGGGAAAGGGAAGTGATGAGTTAGAGAGTGGGATGGGATGTACGGGAGAAAGCCCTCCAGGCAGCTGCTGAACAGCCAAGTCTTAAAGAGGCGTGGCTGAAGGGATGAGAAAGAACGCCCTGCCCGAGTCATCGACTTATATTTAATGTTTAACCTTGGTCTTTTTGAGGACTTGACAGAAGCAGAACGTTCTCAAGGCCGGCAAAGGGAAAGACAAAGAACCGTTGGGACTTAGACGACGTAATGATGGGCGCCTACCTCCAGCTCCAGATGAGTCCATCTGTCCTTCTCGTGGCCTTGATGTTTTTCATGCAAGGTAGGAGATGGAAGATAGTATGGCAACTGCTAGAGCTTCAGAATTAGCCATGTTGGGACCAGGAATGTTTGGAAGACAAAGGGTGGCATCTGGAAAAGGCTTGGATGAGAAGTTTCAACCTCTCGGTTATTTTGGTTCAGCTCTCAGGGACGGTTCTTTGGGTATCTACCTAAAGATTTGAAATTCTGGCATAAGGGAAGCATCAGGGCTGTAAAATGAGAAGTCCATCCTTACCCATTTTGGCTCATTTATAATAAATCTAAATTCTAGCACAGAAGCTAAACAAATCCTTAAATGAAAGAGTTTTTCCAGGGCGTTAACCATGCCAGGTTCAAATAACGAACTTGGCTGGGCATAAATGCATGGAGGTGCCAAAACGGTTGCTTTAAAGATCAAAGCAGTATTTTTTAGGCCATCCTGCTGGAAATGTGTGTCCGCTGCAGTATATATTTGCTTGATTGTACTGGTTTTTTAATTGGTTTTAATTAATGTCCTGATTGTTTGCCACCACCCAGAGTTATTCGTTTGAATGGGTAGCCATATAAATTGAATAAATAAATAAATTATCTTAGATTACTGTATGTCGTTTCCCTAAAATAGTCCTTGTGGCAAATGTCTGTCTNAACTTGCTGCCCAAATTCTTAACCATCACAGAACTGGCTGAAATTCTTCTGGAGAAAGAAGAGAGAGAAGAAGAAGAAACAAGGATTAAGAAAAATGTTCTCCCCTCACGCAACTCTTTAAATCTAAGATTCTGATCCAGGTGAAGCCACCTGAAGCCACAGAACGTTGGCACCTCAGAAAGCGCTCCAGGTATCCTGACTCACGCCGTTGCCTTCTCTTTCTTCCCTGACCTCATTTTAAGTTTCGATTATTGTGCCTCACACATATTTGTCCAACTGTTATGTATTCTGTGGAAGTTCCAGCCTGCATGATGGATGAAGCACGTTCTGGCATGTCCGAGGCAGGAGAAGTCAGAGGCCCAGATGTTGACTCAAGCGGGGCTGCTGAGTCAGGGAGATGACTCCCTGTCTTCTCCAACACAACAATAAAAGGTGGGAAGGAGGCCACGTCTGAGTCATCCTTTTTCATGGCAGAATTGCCAACTTTTCCGTTGACCTTGGCGGAAGGATTTCATGCACCAACCTTCATGAGATCACACAGTGCTGGCTACAGTACAATTTGGTTCAGGCGGCTTTCCTTGAAGGCAGAAGATCAAACTGGGTTGTCTATACTTTTGGTGGGAGTTGTGGTCAGATGCCTGCAGAGGTTCTCAGTCCTCCAGGTCATGGTTGTTTCCAAAGGTCCTTTTTTCAGGAGGCAACTGGATTTTCTGTTTCGAAGATGTTTCACTTCTCATCCAAGAAGCTTCTCCAGCTCTGACAGCTCAGTGGGGAATGGAAGGATTTATATTCCTCCCATTCCATTATATTTATAAAGGAATATAAATCCTTCCATATTCCCCCGCTATCCTGCCAGAGCTGAAGAAGCTTCTTGGAGGAGAAGCGAAACATCTTCAAAAGAAAAAAGGCCAGTTGCCTCCTGAAAAAGTACTTTTGGGACTGTGATCAGATGGCAACCCCAAACAGACTTCCATTTTCCCTCTACCAGTACAGATAGTCCTCAACTTATGACCACAATTGAGCCCAAAATGTCTGTTGCTAAGCAAGACCTTTGTTAAGTGGATTTTGTCCATGTTATACCCATTCTTGTTGTTAAGTGAATCACTGCCATTGTAAAGCTAGTGAGGCGGCTGTTAAATGAATCCAGCTTCTCCGTTGACTTCGTTTGTCAGAAGGTCGCAAAAGGGGATCGTGTGACCCCCGGGACACTGCAACCGTCATAAGTACAGGCCAGTTGCCAAGCATTTGAATTTTGATCTGGTGGGGATGCTGCCATGTTCAGAAGTGTGAGAAACGGTCATAACTGAATTTTTTTCTTCAATGTTTTTTTGAACAACCGGAAAGCAAACTGTTTTAAGTTGAGGAATTGCACAGGTACAATATAGGTGGTACCTCGCTCAATAGTAGTAACTTGAGAGGGATTTTGGAGTACTAGTGGACAACCATTTAAATATGAGCCAGCTGTGTGCAGCAGCTGCCAAAAAAGCCAACACAGTTCTAGGCTGCATAAACAGAGGGATAGAATCTAGTTCTAGGCTG